ACGGAACAGCTGTTCTTCCATTTCAAGGCTGACTTACAGACCCCTCCTGGAGGGGTTCTTTCCTGCTTTTTCCTCTCCAAGTTTCTGGTGGTCTCACCTGGTGGGTGGAACACTCAGGTGTGCCCCCAGGTACTTCCTTTGCATCTGCCCCTTGGTTTTCTCATTTAGAAAATCCTGTGATCTCTGCCTTGCCTGCCTCCCAGGGTTGTGTGAGGATCAGAATCCATCAATGGACACGCTCTGCTTTAAGGCTGTGTGCCGAGGACAGGCACGGAGGTGGTGTCTTGATGGGCGAGCGGAGGGTGTGGCTCAGAGCTTGGCTTCTAGACTGACTCAGATCCAGGTTCTGCTCCTTGGAGCAGCGTCCTTCCCATCCTTGGGTGTCCCTCCTCACGTGTGGAATGAGGATAAGAGTACCTCCTTGGCTTGGCAGGTATTGTGAAGATTAAATATAAAGTACTTGCAACTTTGAGTTGCAAGCTTGAGTAAGAGCACAATCAATTGTTGCTATATATATATATATTTTTTTTTTAAATCTCTCACTATGTCTTATATACCGTAGGTGCCCAGGATATATATTTATTGACGTAGTAGGTCTTTAACAGTTAATGTTTATTCAGTCTGCATAAGACCTCAGTTACTCCAGCACCGTGGGATGTGTTTATGTGAATAAAGCTTCTAGTCCAATCTCTCTGAAATTCAGTACCAGGAGGTAGCAGCAAGCTGGTGACTTTGGGCCACATGCTCACCCTCTCTATTCCTCCTATACCTCCATTTCTTCACCCATAAGGGAGGGTGTGAGGATAGGGGGATTAACTGAGGTGTTGCATGGGAAGTACAAGGTCTGGGCCATAGTATGGTCCAAAGTCAGGGCTCCATCAGTGACCGCATTTCTGTGCCACCGTTGCATGCTGTTTGCTCCCTGTGTCTGTTGGTGCCGGTTCAGACCTGCGTTGCTCAAATCTGCATCCTTACCCATTTCAGGTTGTTTATGCTATCAGTCACTGAGGGAGGAAAATCTCCAAGCACGACTGTAGATTTTCTGTTTTGCCTTTTACTTCTTCTTCTTCTTCTTCTTTTTTTTTTAATTTATTTGACAGAGAGAGACACAGCGAGAGAGGGAACACAAGCAGGGGGAGTGGGAGAGGGAGAAGCAGGCTTCCCGCCAAGCAGGGAGCCCGATGCGGGACTTGATCCCAGGACCCTGGGATCACGACCTGAGCCGAAGGCAGACGCTTAATGACTGAGCCACCCAGGCGCCCCTTGCCTTTTACTTACGACACATTTTTTTTTTTTACATCGTTTTAAAAAATTGAGATGTAATTCACATAGCATAAAACTCACTGTTTTAAAGATTTATTTATTTTTTCCAGAAGAGAGAGAGAGCATGCGCATACACATGAGTGAGGGGCAGAGGGAAAGAATCCCAAGCAGACTCCATGCTGAGCCTGTTGGGGCTTGATTTCACGACCGTGAGGTCATGATCTGAGCCCAAACCAAGAGTCTGATGCTTAAGTGACTGAGCCACCCAGGCATCCCCCCAAAATGCACCGTTTTAAAGTATACAGTTCAGTGGTTTTCAGTATATTCACAGGATTGCATGACCATGACAACTATTTTATTCTAGAACATTTTCATCACCTTCCCCATGCCTCCCCTGCC